TGACCTTTTGGGTATCTATCTTTGGTTAGATGATGACCCATGAGATGAATTTGGAGACACCGATATCAGTTTGACCAATTTCGGTTTTGCCAAAGTATCTCTCGAATTTTGTTTCAAAATCTTCTTGTCTTTATTTTCTTTGATAGTCTGATTTCTGTCCTTATTTGCATTCCAATCGCCATCACTGGAACGTGACCTCGAGGAATTTCTTTTGAGAGATCTTCCTCGTGATACGTTCTGCCTACCTTGTGCATAGTATGGAACATATGCACGATTTGGGCAGTTTCTGGCAATATGTCCCGGTGTTCCACAGTGGAAACATGTCTGCTTCTTCATGAAAAAGTTGTTACTGCTTGTTCCTGGTTTCATGTCCAGATTGTGTCCACAAGTACACGAGCAGTTTGCAGTCTGTTTGACTTGTTTTGGTGGACTATATTTACTTACAGCAGGTCCATTAGTATTAGAATTCACAACCACATCATCACAAATATTTGAAACAAAAGAAGTATCAGTTTTTAAAGTAACATTGTTTGAACAATCAACCGAATTAACGAAAATAGCAGTATCAACTTTCAAAGCATTATTTTTAAAAGTAGTGTCATTTTTCAAAATAAAAACACTTTCTCCATCCTCTTTCCTGTCTTGCACTAGGGATTCATCCGCATGTGAGGTAGAAACGTTAGTATCGTTCGCCCTATTATTATTCACTGGCACAACTACAGTAGGTTTGGCATACTGTAGGTGTGCTTCTCTTTCTATTTCTTCCTCAGTTAGAGGATTAAAAGTGTAGTTGTCATTAAATGGAGGAGGAACACTATCATAACCAAGACCTACATTCTTTTTACCTTGCCATTTAAGTTGTTTTTCAATCATGGTCTCAACTTTCTTACTTTACACATCAAATTTTTTAAAATTAAAATCTACATTTTCAATCTTATTTTTTAATGTGTCAAGCTCGGCAGTCAGACTGGCAATCTTTTCTTGAGCATAATCGTAGCGTTCACATTTAGTGCTATATTCTTCTTGAAGTTTTCTAAAATCCTTGGTTTTGGCATCTAATTTTTCTTTTAAAGGTTTTTGGGCCTTTCTGAGAGTGTATCCTTCATATTTAAGGTCCTCAATTTCCCTAATTGATAAATGAAGTTGATCACGATAAAGTTTAATTTTAGCTTCACAGGACTGAGAACATGAAGCTTCATTGACCTTGGTGATTGAAGAACTCATTATTCACCAAAAAAGGGTAATTTACCAAAAAAAAAATAGAACTGATTGTGAAGCCAAGAAAAAATTCCCTTTGACTTGAAACCTTGAAAGTCAAACTTGAAAAGTCAAACTTGAAAACTTGAAAGTCAAAATTCAAATTTGAAAGTCAAAAGACAAACTTGAAAGTCAAAAGTCAAATTTGAAAGTCAAAATTGAAAGTCAAACTTTTTGTCCAAAAAAAATAACCTTGACCGAGAACAAAAGTTTTTAGACCGAAAACGAAATTTCAAGACCAAAAACGAGAGTATTTTACCAAAAAACGAGGGTATTTGACCGAATACTTGGCCTTTTGACCAAACACGAAGCTTAAGGACTGAAAACGAAGTTATTTGATCGAAAACGTGGCTTTTGGACTAAAAACAAGCCAAAATATTGAAAATCCGAAATTACAGCCGAGGATGCGAGGGGCTGAAAATCCAAACTGAAGAAGGCCTGACCGAAATCTCACACCGAAATCTGAGGCCGAGAAGTCCGAACCGAGAACCTTCGCACCGAGAAGCCGAGACCGAGAACCCGGACCGAGAGCTTGCGAGGCCGAGAACTGTGGACCGAGAACTTACGACGCCGACCGAAATCGTTGTTGTGCCTCCGAGATCTGCTAGGGCTTGACCGAATCCGAAGCTGGCTGCCGAAATCTCACAGATTTTGACCTAAAACTCCCCAAAACTTGCCAAAAACACAAAATTTTCAACTTTTTAATGCCAAAATCGATCATAGTCAAGAACACGAAGAACAAAGGCAAAAACTTCGTAAAAATATAAATCAAAAACACCAAGAAACCCAAGAAAAACCGTTTGCAATAACCCGATTGATACGGATCCAATATCTGTTACCAACTGTAAAACCCAAAAATGCTATGATGTATCAATCAGCTTCACTTGATGGTGCGGAATCCCACTCAAGTGAATTAGACAAGAGAAAATATAGAATAAGAACACAATGGTTAATCTTCAATGCACACTATTATTGAATAGTCGGGTACATAAGATTCTTGATTACACTTGATTCTCTCTTGTTTTCTCTCCAAATCATGTTCTAAGCTTATGGCATCCCCCAAAAACGTCCCACACTCTTTAGAAGGCTCAAATGACACCATTTGTACCTAGACCTAATAACCAAGGCCCAACCCAAAACCCAAACAAAACAATATTAAGCCTAACCAAAATCACATGTGATTTCGGTCCAAACAACACCAAAACATGGTGTTTTCGGTCCTAGACCGAGAACTCTAATATCTTATGAAAAGCAAAGTAAAAACCACAATTTATGACCTAACAATCTCCCCCTTGGTTTATAGCTTTCTTTTCACTTAGTATAAACCATAATTTAGTCCTAACAATCTCCGCCTTGGTTTATAGCTTTTTTTTTTCAGTCTTCTCTTCGTTCTTGACTTCAGCTTTAATCTTCGATTTCTTCACAAATTCAAGATGAACATATAAATTTCTACATGAATGACTTTATCTTGAACAGTTGCACTTCCTTCAAATATTTGACCTTGAACGCACATTGGGTATAGAGGCTTCTTGTAAAGGTTCTTGAAAAGCAACATTTGTAGGTTTGAAATACTTCAGAGAAAATAACAGAGAGACTGATTCTTCTGGATCACTTCAGCAAGTTCATATATAGCAGCAAATTGATTGAGGAGGCTTCAATACAATCTATCACATAACTTCAAATACAGCTTCACCTTGCTTCCTGGGTGGAAAGATTGTATGTTGAAAAATAATCTTCACTTCTTGTTCCTTCGAATGAAAGTTCTTTAATGATCACCGTTGCGCCTTGAAAAGTAACCATGACTAAGAAGTCCCATGTGGATCACAGAATCATAAAGACCATTCTCACCACAGTTGTTCAAGGACCCAACCTAGGATCAGAAGGAGACTACTCGCAGTATCTGTGTGAACACGGAGGAACGAACTGCGATTTGTTGTGTATCGGAGAACTACTCATGGCTATTTTGATGTTAGCCCATGCATATCCTAGATCATAGACCTCAATACAGGTTTTCAAGTTAAACAAGTTAACTTGGCCCTTGGCGAGACGTTCAACGATAATCGTGCCTTGCGAGGTGTATCGCCCTGGTGCCATGACATCTGTACAGTTTCAGACTTTTAATTCCTTAAATACGCCAATTCTTTGAAAGAAACTGCCTAACTGATAATTTGTACAGTTTCAATCCTTCAATTCCTTGTGAAAATAGAGTGAAGTGTAATGACCATCAACTCCTTTACAAGTTTCTTCTCCTTGCTCAGAAATTTCTGATACAGTCTCCTTGAGTCTCTTCTTCTTTTTGAATTCATTTTTTTTAAGACAAACGAAACTTTGAGATAAAAAATAAAAGTAAAAATAAACTTAGCACACAATAGAAATAACTAAGAAATAAAAATAAAAATAAAAATACACTCAAAATAAAATATTTTTGGATTTTCAATTTTATCAAAAAGAAATAAAAACAGAAATAAACATATTTTTGGATTTTTTTAATCATCATCATCATCAGAGACTTCAACCGAACTACTGATATTTGACCTTGACGGTGTCATATGTTCTTCTGCTACTATAGCAATAGGAGTACTTGAAGCTTGGACACCTTCTGTCTCTGCAAAATTTCCAAATTTAACCAACTCCTTCAATCCTTGAAAAGCGACTTTGGCTGATTTTCTTGACTGCTTCATGAGCCCAAAAGTGTGAGGACCCAAGGCTTTTATATCCAAAGTGTCAGATGATATCTCAATTTGGGAATATTTTTCATTGAAGATCATTTGAAGGAACCTAGGATACATCAAGAACAGGTCCTTCTTTCCTTGAAGAGTGCTTTTCATTTTTTAAAAGAAAAACTTCGAAAAGTTGTAATCACAATCCATTGCAAGAGCCACAATGGCAGAGGTTGCAGTCTGACTAATTTCATTAGCTCCTCCCTTCCTTCCAGAAATGTAGATCACAAAGCAATGTGCCAGAAACCTCCAAAAAGGTGGCAACAGTTTCTTGATGGTGGGAGGATAAGTTCCTTCATAACACATCTTTTCAAGGGCTCCCTTCACTTGATTAACGGTATACTCAATTGGAAATGCAGATACATCACCAAACTAAAGCACCTCTCGGATAATTTGCTCGGAAACAAATACTTGAGTTCCCTTCACCAATGATTCAACAGAACCAGCTCTATCTACTCCATGCTTGTTGATTGAGGCATTCTTCCAAAACTCAGTAACTAGGTCCTTGTAGATGACTGGATTAGAACGCAAGGCATGGGAAATCCTGCAATTGTTCAAACCCACGATCATGGATTTGAATTCATTATGCGTGACGGGTGGATCCAAAAGATATGCTGCGATGTTGTGAGTATCAACAAATCTCAACTGCTCCGCCAATTATCTACACCAAAAAATTAAGTGAGAACAATAAATTTTAATTAAAATTAAAATTAAAAATTTATTTAACTTTAATTTAAAAAAAAAATTTAAAGTTTGGTCAACTATCGTGATTTCGGTCAAGATCATTCCTTTATGAGTTTTCTTTTGTCTGTTCCATCGAAGGAGCCAGTCAATGAAGCTGTGATTACTCCAGCTGAGACTGAGACTGAAATCAATATTTTCAGGCAACCGAATATTCCAACGCCTGAACAGATGGAATAAATTATCAAAGAACTACAGTCTACTGCAAGGAAGCCTCCCCAAGAAGTTTCTGTTAATGTTGAATCTCCATCTGAGTGTGATAAAGATGAATCAAATGCCTCCATGGTGCCAAAGAAGCGAAGACGGAGAGATCCAAGGCCGGGAGTGCTTATTACTGAGCCAGTACAACAATCAGTTTCTATAGTTGAACCAACCCAGGTTCTAGAAGATGTTCAAAGCCCAATCGTTGAACCAATCCCAGGTTCAAGAAGATGTTCAAAGCCCAATCATTGAACCAGCCTCAGTTCAAGAAGATGTTCAAGGTCCAATTGTTGAATTAGCCTAGGTTCATCAAGACGCTTAGAGCCCCAATTTTGACGATGACTTTAATTTCGTAGCAAATGAGGAAACCTTTGCTTCAGGAAGTTCTTCTGCTCCACCACCTCCAGAGCACGATGCTACATCCATTAAGCTGGCCAAGATTCTTATTTTTCAAGACTCTATTCATCAGTCGAGAGGAAATGGTATATGTATTTGTTCTGGACAAGGAGGTGATGAGGACTTACAACACACTATCTCTGAGCTTAGACAAGAGATATTGATTTTGAAGCAGGAATCCATTGAAAATGATCTGCTAATCGGGAAGTTAGATGTGAGAGTTTTGGAGCTAGAAAAGGAAAATTCTCAAAAGAATAAATAGATCTCATAACTCCAAGGTAATCTTGGTGGACTAACAACTTTCTACTTTGATCTCAAAGACAAACTGATTGGAAAATTTGGTGATGAGTTCAAGTCATCTAGTTCTGAGAATGGAAAAGCACCTGAGACTTCTGAGAGGGTGGTGGTTAGACCTTCCCCAGATTCCAACATTGATCAATAGCTCAAATATCAGTATAACATGGCTAACATTTTGGGGAACTACTTACTTGGCTCGGCCGATCACGCGCATTGCACTCTCCTCTTTTCCATTTTAAGAAGTTTCTAACTTTTATTTTTGAAAACAATTTTACCATTTCCTTAGTTTGAGTCCCGACACACCCGAGAGTGTGCACGAATCCCTCAAACCAAGGCTCTGATACCAACTTGTAACGACCCAATTTTCAAAAGAAAATTTTTATTTTTAAATAGTCAAAAATATTTTCCATAAACCATAAAATCTCAAATACATTAGTTTTCAAATTCATAACAATAACACTATTTTTCCAATCATCAGAGTGTCACATAAAAACGCCTGAGAGAGAGTGCATGCCGCGTCATCAAGCCTTACCCTTGCCCTTAGGCTCAGATGTACCTGAAACAAATCCACAACCTGTAAGCTAATGCTTAGTGAGTTCCCCAGAGCATACCCCTCACAATCTACATAATCACATAAACATATTAGCTATAAAATCTACATAAACCACATAAGCCATGCATACAAACATATAGGATTGCCATGAGCTCCCCCACATGGTCTTATACCAAAGTGTCATGGGCTCCCCCATGGTCTTTAGCTAACAAGCCATGGGCTCCCCCACATGGTCTTTTATCCAAGTGTCATGGGCTCCCCCATGGTCTTTAACTGACAAGTCATGGGCTCCCCCACATGGTCTTATATCCAAGTGCCATGGTCTCCCCCATGGTCTTCCCTGCAAGTATCACATAATAACTAGCATACCACTTAGCATATAGCTAACTATCATACCACACATCTCTACATTAGCTAGTGTACCACATATCACAAAATGGGCCAGCCTTGGTGCCTTAGACCCATTGGTATGGTGAGGAGACTCACCTCTTGAGAATGCTGAACCGACGAGATAAGATCCAATAAGTCCCAACGTACAGCTCCAACTCAACTGCCTATAATCATCATGTGATTAACGTGTCACAATCCCGAAATACCATAAATACCCTCAAGGTCAACCCTGGTCAAAGTCAAGGTCAACAGTCCATGTTGACCTCAACTCGTCGAGTGTATCCAACAACTCGTCGAGTTCATTAAGAGTCCATACAATCAAAATCCCGAGTCAACTCGCCGAGTCACCTGAGTAACTCGTCGAGTTCCTTTAATGTCCATAAGACCGAAAACTCATGCAGACCAAAAACTCTAATCCTTCACTTAACTCACTCAGAATCTCGAAAACGGGTAAACCCTACCCAACTCGTTGAGTCCCTTCAGTCATTTTTGTATTCAGTCCTTTCCAGTGGAATCCAAGGCTCCAAATTACAGATCTAGCGTCCTAGGGCATGGTTTCCACGTAAAGTTGCAAACTTTATGTGCATGCAAGCTCTTAAATGCCAAAACCAAGCTAAGGGAGGGGTTAAAGCCAAAGAAAAGGACCAAAGCTTGATAAATTCAACAACTTCATAACTCTAAGGACTTAGAGGAGTCCAGATCTGAAGTTACGACTTCAAATCATGTACAGCACCCGAAATGCTCCACAAATATACTAAAAATGGCCTTAAACCCAAGAAAAGGGGATCTAATGCTAGAATGATCAAGGAAACAACTTGTTACCTTCAAATGGAAGCCCAAACGATGTAGATGCTGGATCTACAAGCTCATTCTCGTTCCAAGCTTCTCAACCTTCAACTTCTTCCACAAAATGCACCAAAAACACTCTCTTAGCCTCACAAGCACAAGGAAACAGCAAAGAACGGCTAGGATTTCTTCTCTGGGTAATGAAGTAGTAAGGGAGGCCACAAGAGGCGGATTAAGTCCTTTATATAGGGTGCAAACCCTAAAAATTAGGGTTCTCCTTTACAGCGCCTACTCGTCGAGTCGGGGCCTTCCGACTCATCGAGTAGGATGTACATCCTGCGTCCTAATAAATGACCTCTACTCGACGAGTTAGAGCTCCCCAACTCGTCGAGTTCCAGCACAAAACCGTAAAACTTAAGAAAATTTGTGATACCTGGAACAGGTGTTACATTACACGTGAAGTGCGCCACACGTATAAGCACTATAAATAGAGGTGCTCATTTTCTGATTTCCTGACACCCAAATCTCTCTCTCTCTCTCTCTATATATATACATATATATATATATATATATATATATATATATATATATATATATATATATATATATATATATATATATATCTTGACCTATTTCGAAAGTACTCCCCATGGCGCGAAGCTTCGGTTGCTGTAGTAAGGATGCTTTAGATCACACTACAAGGGTGAGCTCACAGACCCATTTTACTATTTTAAAAGTTTTACGGGGGGGAATACATGCTTATCAAAATATATTTATATCCACAAATATCAATCGTTATATAAAGCATGAAACCTTAGGATAATGTAGCTATGCATACAATACCTAGTTGTAAGCTATGATATTATGCCTAAGAGCTATGATGCCCAAAATCTCGGAAGAGATATAATCTAGATGTTATAATGGCCAATTTCCTATGATAACATAGTACCTAGAAGTAATGTTGGTCAAATATAGGGATATGCATTGTACCTAATCGTTACTCCGCCCAAATATCCAGTTTTCAAATTAACCATAATTAGGGTATATATGTATGGCAAATATATATATATATATATATATATATATATATATATATATATATATATATATATATATATATATATACAGACACACTTAATAATTATGAGATCTAAAAGGTATATGTAACACCCGTTTATTTATTAGTTAAATAAATAAATTAATGAACCAATGGTAGCCTAAAATAAATAATTATATATGCAGGGTGTTGGGTTCGAGGAGTCAATTGCCACAGTTTTAGAAGTCGGGGGTTAAAAGTATGAGTTCGGGACTCATTTTATAAATATTCATGAAGATAGGGGCTTCGTGGTAATTATTTGGATTTAATTTAAAAAGGAAATGAGGTGGAAGGGCTGATTATGGCATAATTAAGATATTAGGGGCTGTTTCGTAAACTTTGTACCTAAGGTGTAAAGGATTTTAATGTTGGGGGTTTAAATGGTAATTTATGGGCTATGTTTGAAGAAATTGTGTATAGGAGGGACCGATGCTGCCACTTCTGTTATAATTTTGTATGGAAGCGGGATTTAACCCGAGAGCCCTTACCCTCCTGTTGCATTGGAAAACCCTAAACCTAGTTCTTTCTCACAGCCGCCATGTGAAACCTCCAGCCGCCCCTCCCACCTACTCGACCTCCGGCACCGCACTACCACCGGATACCGCCACATTGTGGTCGCTGAGGATGTTGAGCCGTCATCCGTGACCTCACCTGTCGTCAATATAGAGTCGCACAGCCACCAGGCGAACACCGAGCATCCATCAGCCTCCTTCTCTTTCTCATTCTTAGGCTGTCGCTGCTTCTTCGTGGTTCCGATCAGGCGACTCCGACGAGCCTTCCGTTTCTTAGCCTTACGTCATCAGTCACTGTTTGCATCATCAGCCCGGTTCCACCGCCGCCTCGTCGACAAACACTGCCGAACCGCCACCCATCACCATTGACGTTTCTTTTCTAGTAACGAAGAAGACCACCGGCGGGCTTCGTCCCTCTGTCGCTGCTGCCGGAGACGCTGGTGCGCCATTGGAGACACTGCTGTGTTCGTCGACGACAACCACCGCCTGCCGCCATTTCCTTCTACTTCTTTCCGTCGCTGCCTTGGCTCGTCACCATCAACCACCGTGGGAGGTGGTTGTGAGTTGTGTGGGTGTGTGATTTTTCTTTTATTTGGGTGTTGTGTGTGTTTTGTCTAGCCGGAAAGTCGGGAATAGCCACTGCCACCACCGTGAGGTGGTGGCTGCCGCCATGAGCCACCATTGTGTGTGTATGTGTTTAGCCTAGTGTGTGTGTGTGCGGTTTGGTTATTTCATTGTAATTTTGTATTAGTTGGAATAGTGAAGAAAATCCGTCATCACCACCGTTAGGTGGTGGCTGCCGCCTCCTGCCGCCACCGGCCGTCGTGTCGGGTGGCGGTGTGCTTGCCTTATTGAGTATGATTCGTTTGGGGTGCTTGAAACCCTAATGGGCCTTGTAAGCCCTAATGGACCCCATAAAGCCCTAATTGACCTAAAATCCCAACAAATTGATAAATGGGCTAATATTTGGATTGGAAACCCTAATTAGGGTTTGGAAAACCCTAATGCAATGAAACCCTAATTTTGAGAATTAATCGGGACACACACACGGGAATTAATTAATAGTTTGAAATATTAAATAATAATCATTGGCAAAGATTAACTAAGCAATATTGGACTTAATGGATTAAGTCCTTAGTGGATTAAGTCCTTAATGGGTTAAGTAGGAAACTTAACCCTAATCATCATTTTATGAGAAACCCTAGTTTCACTTGGGCTTTGTGTTGGGCCTTTCTTTTGGGTTTTAGTAATTGGGTTATTAATGGGCCATCCAAGAATAAGTAAATTGACTAAATAATTCTATGGGTTTTAGGATAAGGCCCATGTGAGGACTTGGGCCCAATTTGGAAAATTGGGCCATAGATGGGCCATAATTGGACCTTTATGATTATGTGATATTGGGCCATGGGAATTAGACTGGAATAATTGGATGGGCCTTAAGGAAAGACCATGTAGAGGTCTGGGCCCAATTTGGAAAATTGGGCCATATGTTGGGCCTTGGCCTATTACTTGACTTTTGGGCTTTTGGAGTGTGAGTTGGACTTTGAGCTTGGAACCCAGTTATTAATTGGGTATTGTTTGATGTTGACAGTTCGGGAATCTGTCAACCAGCAGTTGGAGTTTATTGTGCAGGATTTCAGGAGTGACAGGTGAGTTCTCCTCACTATATCGACAGGGTCTAAGGCACCAATGCCGGCCCTTATTGGATTGGTATCCGGGTTTATTGCATGTTATGCTTATTGATTTACATCTTGGTAGTTAGGATGGTGTTATGCTTAGTGACCTGGTTAGGTCGATATCCTGGTATATAGGATGATGCTATGTTAGTGACCGGTTAGGTCGGTATCCTGGTTATAGGATGTTGCTATGTTATTTGATCTGTTAGATCGGTTGACTATTTTATATGCTAGCGTATGATATGTATGTGCACATGTTTGTTTGATTGGGGGTTTGGGTTGAGGCGATCCTGCTTTGTGCTGAAGGCCAACATACCCAGGGCGGTCCGGATAGACTACAGACCCCGGAGGGTATGATAGTCAGACCGAAGGCCCGGCGAGCGGTCCGGATAGGCTGAAGGCCCGGCGAGGAGGTCTAGACGTGCCGAAGGCTCGGAGAGCGGTCCAGATAGACTGAAGGCCTGTGAGGCGGTCCAGTCAGGCTGAAGGCTCATTATGCATGCTGATCTGTGATTGTATTGATATGATATTTGTTCTGGTTAGTATGGGTTGGTATTTTGGGGGTAACTCACTAAGCCTTCGAGCTTACATTTATCGAATATTGTTTCAGGTACTTCTGATGATTGCGGAAGGTGAAGGTGTGATCGTACATCTCCTCATATTTCATGGTTTTATGATTTGATTCTGGGGATACTCTGATGTTTAAACTATTTTGAAAACAAACTGTAATAACTTAATGCTTTTTAAATGTTTTAAAAAGTTTTAAATTGGCTTGAATTTTTGGGATGTTACAAGTTGGTATCAGAGCCTTGGTTTGAGTGAATTGGAGGAACATTCGTGTGAATCCAGTCTCAAATCAAGGAAAGATTTTAAAATGATTTTTAAATGGTTTTCAAAATAAGTAAAGGAGGATGCAGGGTGTACGATCAGCCGGAGCCAGTAAGTAGACCCCAAAATACCATACAGTTATTTGAGTATGTGATATGTCAGAACAGCATGCTAGTGCTAGGCTAGGGATCTTCGGGAATTGCATGATAGAATTGCCAGATTACATGATACCTGCTAGCCTAGGGTTTCCTTTATATGAGATTGACATCATTACTATAGTTTCTTAGTGTATGTATCACGGTTATATATAATTAAGATCTTATAGCCTGAGAATGTTTGATTTGGCCTTATGTTCTGTTCTTGTTTGATTGGGAGCTTAGGGTAGGATTGGATATTCGAAAGTCTATAGGGTCCAGCGTTATGTATGGCTAGCGTACACTAGTGCTACAGGGTTGGTGGAAGTTTCATTGATGGGTGGGTAGTGAGAGGCCGGGAGGCCAGTTATGATATATTCAACATTCCTCTAGGAGTGAGGATTGAGCGCTCGCTATGTTTATGTATATTGCCAGGGTGTTGTGGTGATACTTGAGACAAATATGGGTAGGTGTGGAAGGTAGTAGGGGCCCATACTACTGAAAGCACAGGACCCATACGCGTAGCAAGGAAGTCACAACCCCTGGGGTTTAGTTGGGAGTTGGTTTCCTGTCATCATATAGGTTACCAGAGATCTTTCTGATGTATTATCAGAATGATGACTACGAGACGTTTTGCGACCGGATCCGGATCAGGATCGGGAGCTATGCAGCCATGGCTGAGACAGCTGCCGCAACAGCTTCAGCAGCTGTAACGATGGCAGGAGAGGAGCTGGTCGAGCTTCCCAGTATCGGGACTTGTTATTGGCACATATTCTGATGAGTAGAGGGCTGCAGTTATCTGGGACTAGGGAGATGTTCTATACTTGTTACATTCCGCGGGTTAAGCGGGAGAGTCTAGCACATGCGTTCTAGATTGAGGCTTCGGGGGTTTTGCTCGAGGTCGGGATGTGAGTCGCGGGGACTCCAGAAAGGAGTGATGATTATGTTCAGTTGGGGTTTTGCAACTGGAAGTAGAATAGTTAATTGATGGATTGGAATGTCGTTTTCCAGGGCAAGGATTGTGCTCTTTCAGTTTACGAGCTCGAAGGATTGAGCAGGCTTGTGACCCAGTATCAGGTTATATTCCAGCTCGGGGTCAGTTGGTCACCGGGATTGGCGATAGTAGTTCAGCGCTGGTGAGAGCGGGTGAGCCGAGGTGGCATAAGTATCTTGTGAAATCCGATTCGCCTTGGATCTCTTGTATCGGGCGGTAAGTATTGATTGAGCGATCTATTGCACTTTCGGGATTGGAGACTACGTCTTGGGAGTAGTTGTGGCCCGGTTTAGGGCAAAGGTTGTTTCAGCTACTGCATTTCATCTGTGGATGATTGAACTGGTGAGTGAGTCAGGGTGCGAGGCCCTGGATGATATGATTTCTAGAGCCGAGAGCGTGAGGATTGTTGGAACACTTTGGGAAGAAGGGTATTATGTGGGAGGTCTGCGGACAGGGTCCCACACGATGGTTATTCAGCATTGTCATGATTCAGTAGTCCAGTAACCGTCATTGGTTGGCGGAGGAAAACGCCAAGGGAAGTAGCTCGTTGCTGAGATGTTAGTTGGAGCATCTATCTTTTGGACTTCAAGATTTGAGTGTGGGATCATGCAAGTATTAGGGATTGTCAGTTTCACTGGGTTTCATGAAGTGTTCATCTAGTTATTAGAAGCATGTGATCATTTGGGGTTGGCTAGTAAAGGAGTACTAGTTGGAAAAGTCTGGTTGTCATCCGATCGATCGTTGGAAGTAAGAAGGATTGGGAATTCTCAAATCTCCATGTACTGGGAAAACTTAGTTGAATCTAAGTGGGGGAGAGACTTTTTATAAAGTTCTCCAACTGTGAGTTCTGGTTGCGCGAGGTGCAATCTCTTGGGCACCTTGTCAACCAGAAGGGTATTCTGGTCGATCCGACCAAGATAGAGGCCTTGATGCAGCGGGAGATTCCGAGGTCTCCGACCGAGATTCGGAGTTTCCTGGGTCTAGCGGGTTATTATCGGAGATTTATATTGGACTTCTCCGTGATCGCAGTTCCTTTGATCCGACTGACCAAGAAGTTGGTGGCCTTTCGCTGGGAGCCTGAGCAGCAGGCAACCTTCGAGACTCTCAGATAGCAGGTTTCGGGAACCAAGTTAGGGCTCCAGTTAGGACTCGAGTTCAGTTGTGTGTTAGGTCGAGTGTGTGTTCGACCGGTATGGGAAGTGTTGTAAGACTACGGGGGTAGCCGTAGTATTCACTAATAGTCAGATAGCATGGGAAGTGTTGTAAGACTGCGGGGGTAGCCGTAGCATTCACTAGTGGTCAGTTAGCATGGGAAGTGTGGTAAGACTGCGGGGGTAGCCGTAGCATTCACTAGTGGTCAGTTATCATGGGAAGTGTGGTAAGACTGCGGGGGTAGCCGTAGCATTCATTAGCGATCAGATAGTGTTAGCGTGTTGTAAGTCTGCGGGTGTAGCTGTAGCATTCACAAGGTTAGCAGATAGTGCTTGAGTGGTGTAAGTCTGTGAGTGTAGCCGCAGCCTTCACTTGGTTGGCAGATAGCATGAGCGCGTTGTTAGGGCGCGAAATGAACAGTAGTACGCACCAGTTTGGGTGCAACATTGAGGATATGGAAGTCCACGGATTGGATTTCGGATTTACCCAAATGGATTAGATCTGGTTAAGCCAGTAATGAAACCGTGGGGACGTCACTACAGTTATGAGATCAGGGAATCAATGGACTGCTTAAGGTCGTTGTGA